GCACACTAGTCAGAAGACAAATAACGTGGACTAAATTATATACTTATTAGCCTTCTCTGGAATGTAGCCGTGAGGAAACCGGCATATGGACTAAAGTGAATAGACTGGTGGGCTACTTAAAACCTAATGTTCCTTTTTTGTCGTCAACTTTTCATTTGCTTTTGTAAGCCTCACTCCACTCTCCTTATGCGACTTGTCAAGTATTTGCATTTTCAGCCGCTATAAATCGTTGTTTAAAAAACGTGAGACAATAGGTGAACATTTGTTTTCGATGATTCTCTTCAGACCATTACAATCACGCTTAAGGGCAAAATAAGGAACTGAAATCGACCCATTGGCTCAAATTACATAGTTAATTAACGGTTCAGTGAGCGAGGCTAAAAGATGACCTTTGACCTGCCAGATCGATGGCATGGTACTGAGCTTGATCTGTGGCAATCGACCTCAGCATCCTACGTTCTAGCTGGCCAGGGAAGTTGAAAAGCGTGGATCAATTTCTTTTGCGAGCATAAAGAAGGTTGCAAAGACCGGATGCAAATGGATTCAGCTGTCGCGAGCGCAAGGAGGCGCAAACCTCTTGATTGATGCTGGGGGACTTTGTAAATGCTCCTGAAGGTACGCTTTAGATCAACTTGGTGTCCAATGTCAACAATATGGGCCAGAACGGCTTTGCTAATGGCCCCATTTCCTTGTTAAAGCAACCAGCGCGGGCAACGCTCGTTCACGCATTTGGACAAGTGCGGTGCCGTTCGACCCATAAAAGTAGCGTTACAAGCGCAGTTGAACTGATAAATAACCATAGATAAGGTCAGCAATAACAGCATATCTTCATTACATGCAAAACAAGAGGTTCATTGGAAAATGTACACATTAAGCTGGCTGCTGGGAATGTCGAATTGACTGCCGCTGAAAGACTTTTGGTTAGGCGCTCGGCAGCGGCATCCCCTTTAAAAGATGATCATAAAAATAACTCTCTCTTCCCCGCAGTTAAAACTGGTACCGGCTTGGGTTTTTCTTCAAAATTCTTTGCAACAAATCAATCAGGGTAGCCATTCTCGTGCGGCGTATTCTTTATAAAGGCTAGTTCCTCATGCACGGTGTCCTGTGAGCAAATTCTACGTACTCTTGTGGTAAGGCAGTGGATTAAGTTTCGCTTATATCTCAGCGGGACGAAACTGTGAAAATTCGTGTACTGACCAATCCACGTATCCTTTCTGTAGACTTTCCGCTGGATGGAGCCGTCTGGCCTCCTAGTTAACAAGACATCTAGATACGGAAGCCGATTGCAAGTTTCTGCCTCGTAGGTAAATTGCAGTGCTGCGTGGGCACGGTTAAACCGCTCGAGAACCTCATCCAGATTTATGCGTTTGTCAACTACTGCTAATAGACCATTCGTATAACGGTGGTAGTAGTCAAAAGATTTTATCTCCGCTTGCAGTTTTGTTCACTCCAATTTGGTCATGAATATATCTGCGAACACCGGACAGAGGGTGGATCCCATGGCTACACCGTCCTTTGCCGGTAAGATATACCATTAAATAGAAATTGTACGTTCTACTTGCTCCGCAGCAATAAGCTTTTCAACTCAAGCATAGGTATACAAATTTTAATTTCCGACTTCGTTATGTGCTTGCCAATCTAGTGGATGGTTTCGATCAGCGGGACGTTAGTCTGGACACTGGACACCAAGTTGATCTAAAGCGTACCTTCAGGAGCATTTTCAGGTTCCCCCAGCATCAATCAAGAAGTTTGCGCCTCCTTGCGCTCGCGACAGCTGAATCGATTTGCATCCGGTTGTTTCAACCTTCTTTATGCTCGCAAAAGAAATTGATCCACGCTTTTCAACTTCCCTGGCCAGCTAGAACGTAGGATGCTGAGGTCGATTGCCACAGATCAAGCTCAGTACCATGCCATCGATCTGGCAGGTCAAAGGTCATCTTTCAGCCTCGCTCACTGAACCGTTAATTAACTATGTAATTTGAGCCAATGGGTCGATTTCAGTTCCTTATTTTGCCCTTAAGCGTGATTGTAATGGTCTGAAGAGAATCATCGAAAACAATTGTTCACCTATGGTCTCGTGTTCTTTTTTAAACCTAAATAGGAATTTTCAAATCGTTGTTTATGGTTCAAGAAGATTTGAAGGATATATATGTTTCACTCATCTCAATACTTAGCTGTGATAGATTACTGTGAATGCGATCTACAGGCAGTAGAGGGGTGGACTGCAAAGTGGCAGATGTTTTTTCCCATATTAAAATGCCATGTAGACGCTGGATTATTTCGAGCTCAAATTGAAGCCACACCTGTTTGCTCTTCTGTCGGCGGTTTAGGAGTGTGATGATCCGGTTAGCTAAAGTTCAAGATATATATATGTATATTGTGTTTGTGGTAGTTAGATTTAACTTCCGTCTCATTCTTTCTCAAGGTTTTATTCTCTAACAACATTTCAGTTCTCGTGGTTTCCCCATTTCCCCTCATCATACTGTCTTCTACTTCTTTATTTCACTCACTACCATCCTGCACTGTGACAGAGTTTCATTTCTAGGTGTAATTTACCGGTTGTAAGACGTTTTTCGGACTTATGTTTCTACCTACATTGAAAGTGCACTAGATATTGACTGATCTCAGCCTCCTTGAATTCCATTGAGTCTATGCCATATTCGTACCGGGTGAGTTCATTTTGCATTCGTTCCACATAAGTTTTATACAATTCAGACTTCGATTCTTAGTTTACACAACTCGTTACTCCTTCTCTGGAATGGCTGCTGCACTTTGTTTTCATTACTGCTTAAATCTTACCTTCTGATAATATTTTACACATATTCACATATACCCTACATTTTTATGCGGTCCAGGCATGGCGCCTATGGTTAAAATGAAGTATTCCTCTCTTGGAGCAACCCAAAAAAGAGCTACCAAGGCGACATGTGGACTAGCCGGCCTCAGTTACAAACTGCGTCTTCGTTTACTCGGTGTGATCTCAGAATACCGACGGCTTCGAGGAGATCTCGTCCTCACATTCCGGAGATTAACTGAAAGCGAGCACCCGTACACATTACCGCTGACCCTATCGTCTTACCAACGATATGGAGGCCATCACCTGAAACTAGTGAGGCAACACTCCCGGTTGGATTGTAGGAATTATTGTTACTCTCTTAGATACTGTTCCCACTGGCATGCACTACCAACACATGTGGTGAACACACCAGCAATCGGGACATTCTAAAGGCTTCTAGAATTTCATCTCAGTGCTAAACGTTACGAAACAGTGCGATAAAGCGGGACGTCTTTACTACTAATGATTCACCTTCCATGTTGGGGCAATTCGATTTTAAGTTTTTTGTGTATTTCCCCTCCCGTGGGTCTTGTAAAGTCACGTGTTTTTATCCCATTATACACTATTGAACTATTGAACTATTTCATGGGGCTTCTCGCATCTACCGCAATGTCCTCCCCGAGGAAAATCTTTGCTTACGTGAAAGGGCGGTTGAAACCTGCAGGTGGCCTACCAGTGCTAGAGGGCTGTAACAAACAACTCTTACTCTCCAGCACTGATTATGCGCCCGCATTGGCGGTGCACTGTGCTTCCTTGTTTGCAAATGTAATGGTGCTTGTACGGAGTACAACGTGTACCGCGCTCATCGAACTCTACAGTCTGAATTGTGTTGCGGAAGAGGTGGGAATCTACTCGCCAACCTGGACTACACTAAATCCGTTGGCACAGGCAGACTGCACCCACTGATTCTCAAGTGGTTGTCGGCCATGCTCCCACGTGCCGCGACTAAGTTGTTCAACAAGTCCCTGTTCGATTATTCATTGCCGAGAGACTGGAAATTCTCAGTGGTAAAGACGATTCCGAACTGCAGTGACCCCCAGCAAAATGGACAACTTTAGGCCGATTTGTCTGATACTTGCTTTGACAAAGGTTGACGAGAAGATGTTGAAGACACGTCTACCACAGTTACTATAATAAAAATTTACTGACCCCCTCCACTATTTAAGGCCAGGCCACCCATGCATTATCATTCTGCTGGTGACGAGGTATGAATGGTTGCAGGCAGCGAATCACGAGAAAGCTGTCCACATAATCCACATCGATTTCATCAAGGCTTTCTACAAGGTAAACAACAGAGTCCTTCTGCACAAGCTATGTCTGCGGTGTTGGAGGGTCTCTGAACCAATGGATGCACAACTTGTGCGTTGAACCAAAGTGAAGGATACGGTTCGACGACCATCTAACTGACCGGTACCTCTCTGCTAGTGGAGTACACCATGATACGGTGCAGTGGCCAACTCTGTTCATAATCCACATCAACGATTTATCTCAGTTTCTTTGGTCACCTTGTGCCTTATTTTCGGACGATCGTAAGATTTGGAGATTTATCCGCACCCCCTATAATTGGGGCCCACTTTGGCAAGAGCATAACTCTCTGTTTATGTGGTCTGCGAAAGCAAGTCGGCATTCATGAGCTTGGGAAAGGATGATGATGACCGAACTTACACTATTGACGGCCAACCGCTACACCAAACGCATTACGGGAAGGACCTAGGTGTGCTGTCGTGCTGCAACTTGAATTCCGTGGACAACACTAACAGGTTATATCGTAACTTCTGCATTTATCCTAAAGGTTTTGCCGTTCGCCTTTTCTATTCCATCATAAGACCAATGATGGAGCACGGCTCACTCGTCTATTGTTCAATAACCCGTGGCGAGGCACAGAAGAACGAACTGGTCCAACACGGTGCAAGAAACTAGGGCCCTACACTTTGTCCTATCGTTGAGCGTGAGTCCATCTCATTGTGACCCACCACCTACTGCATTCTGTTGAATTTCCAATGTTGAGACCACTGCTTCGACTGAATACAGTCAGAGATATGCCTCCTAGAGATGATATGTCAATCAAAGAACCAAACGCGATGGGATTTATGATAGAACAATGCACCAGTACTGTGTCGAATGAACCCATACAACCTGCAGAAGATGATACTGACCAGACGTTTTACACTGTACTTAGAAGAATACCCTCCCCCCCCCTCCCCCCCCCCTCACCTGTCCACCCCCACCCCTCCCCTGCTCCCCCACCCCCCCTCCCCCCTCCCCACTTCATAACCACCCCCCCCCTCCCCCCGCAAACCTCCGTTCCCCCCCTACCCCGTCCACCCTCCCGCTCCCCACCATCCCGCCCCCTAACACCCTCTATACCCCCCCCCCCCCCTCCCCTTCCAACACCCCACCACTCTACCCCCCCCTCCCCGTTCCCCACCCTCCCCCCCTCACCCTCCATACATCTCCCCCCCCCCCATCTACCCTCTTCACCTCCCCCGCCCACCTCCCCCAATCCCCCCCCTACCCCACCCACCCCCCCACCTACCTACCCCCAGACCCCTTCAACCCTTCAACTCCCCCCCCTCCCCCCCTCTCCCCCCCCCCTTCCAAAACCCCCCCCCCCCCCCCCCCCAGCCCCCCCCCCCAGCCCTCTCGCCCCTCCCCCCTCCCCCCCCACCTCCCTCCCCCTCCCACAACTTCCCCCGCACCCCCCCTACCCCTTCACCCTTCTCCCCCCCCCTACCCCTCCATCGCAACCCCTTCCCCCCCCCCCCCCCCCCCCGGACCCCCACTCCATCACCCCCCCCCCCCCCACCCAACCCCCCCCTCCCCAAATACCACTCCCCCCCCCCCCCTCTCTCTACCCCCCCCCCCCCGCCTATCCTATCTCAACCCTCTCCACTCTTCCCCCCACTACCCCCCCAACCCCCCACCCCCATTCCCCCCTTCGCCCCCTCCCCCCCCCCCTCACCCTGCCCCCCCCCACGCCCCTCCTCCCCCCCCCCCTTAGCTCTCCTGTTCCCCCCCCCCCTCACCCCCCCCCACCCTACACCCCCCTCCCTCCCTCCCCCCCCCCCCTGATCCCACCACCACCCACCCCTCCTTTGTCCACATATATAATATATAAGCCCTTGCCCACTATTGTATTCCAGTCCCCCCGCCAACCCCCCCCGATCCCCCCAAACCTCACCCCCCTCCACTCTCCCCCCCCCCACCCCGGCGGCCCCGTCTCCGACTAAGACACAATACACGT